TGCTCTCCCTAAAATCAGGTTTTAATATTGCAATTGCTGCTTCTAATCACTACCCTTCCACTTTGCTTTATTAGTTAGCATTTAGGTGCTAACCATTAAATAGAATTCTGTCCACTGGGGTTTGTCATACACTGCAGTTAGAGCAGAAGTAGCTGAGGCATCACTCTTCAATAGTGGCATAAGTCCTTGTAGGAGCAATAGAAGCTGCCACTCTCTTTATGAGCCAAGCTAAATGCTGTTAAAATGATGAATGAACTAGTTCCATTTTATTTGTTCAGCCTTTCCCACTGCTCTTCCTACAACCCAGTTTAAATCACCAGCTTGTATTTTACATAAATTCCTATGTGCTTGAAATACACAGATGCCTGCATAGAATGGCAGAACAACAGTAAAGGTTTATTTTCTTTTCCAGTTAGCAAAGAGTTAAAGAACTGAAATGGAGCTGAAATATTTATTCAAGATTAATCCCCATGCTCTCAGGCAGCCCTTAAGAGATTTTTCCAGGTAGTTTACAAGACCATCCTGCTTTGCAGCCAAGGGTTGTTGGATATCCATGGGAAGTTGAATCTCAGACTGATCAGTCCCTCCAGACTGCCATACAAAACAATAATGTTAAATCAAAATCATCTTGATTAAATAATCTAATTAAAAGGCACATACAAGCACTGTTGTAGCAAACTTTTTTTCCTCCTGTGAGGATCAAGAAATCTTCAAATTTACCTTTTTTTCAAAATTAGGTGTAAACATTTCCTTCCAATAACATGTTTATGACCTATTAATTAGTTCCCTACAAGCATAGCTGAAATCCCAAATCTGCTTTAACATGGTTCAAGGAGATAAAATTACTTTCAGCCAAACATCCCAAGACAAAACGTGAGAAAGAAATCACATTCAGGGAGGTTTGACTGGATGATCAAATACAAATCCCCAAAGTCCTACCCTTAATTTCAGTGGGGAGGAGAGGGAGAACGAAGGAGAAGAGGAGGAGGGAGAGACAGAGAGCACTCAAGAGAACATCAGAAATTAAAACTGGCAACCAAATAAGCTGTCAAGCAAAGTCCAAAGTCCATGGTTTTTATTTTAAATGAGCATATGTATCCTCTCCATGCCACCAGGAGACACAAGCCTGCTTCAATCCTTACCCTTATAGGATCTCTTTTAGCTTAAAACTTGAGTTTTAAAGATGTTCTTCTCAGTCTCTGGTCTATTAGGAATGACACATATACCTAAGGAATGGGTAAGAAATTGTAAGAAAAATCAGAGCTGGGATAATCACTTGCTGTGGATAGCACAGTAAACCTAAAAAATGAATCCCTAAATTTTCCAAGTCTTTCTGCTGTTTCACACCTCATAATTTCAGTGCAATTACTTCAATCTAGTTGCAAGTCACACAGTTAGATGACTGAGTTCTGGGTAAAAAATACCTATGTTTTATTTCATTCTCTCCCCACAAGAGATATAATCTTGTCTGAGCTGTATTTATAATCTTGGAAAGAGAACTGAGAAATTGTTCATCTCACAGTGATGTGAATGGCCTGAAAGCACAGTTCCCATGATATAAGATTTTTCTTCCACAGTTCTCCCAATAAAACAGAAAAAGTAACTAAAATCCAGTAAATTGAAATGTGTGATACTGGTTAGACTGAAACTAATTCACTGATTGTCATGGGAACAGTGGCAGCCACAGTAAGAAGTGTAGCAGAATGCAAGTTCATTTCTTTTCTTCCTTATTTGCCTCTAATTTTTATCAGAATATCTGTAGGATATGTTTTCCACAGAGAGCAGAGAATGCAGTTAAAGGAAGTTGCTTAGTCACTACCATGGCACAGGGAGGGTCCATGCAGTTGTTAAGAGGAGATGATCTACCCCAAGGAACATTAGTGTGAGAATCTCAACCACTACTGGCTTGGTGAAACACTCAAATGGTTGAAATAGAAATAATGTATGGAAAAACACTCTTTTCTCTTTTGAGAGAGACCTCAGCAACAGAGTAACAGAGTAATCAGATTTATTTTAGTATGTGCAGATCTGACTTTGGACTTAACAGTGAATATCAGGGAGGAATATTTATCTGATTGAATTCAGGGGAATTAAAAGGACTGTTTAACTGGACTAAAGAATTCAACAATCTGGAATGGGAAAAAGGCCTGAAAGTTCTTGAAATCAAGGATACAGGAATATACACTGCAGATTAGAAGGAAAAATTGTATAGAACATTTCTGAGATTCACTGAAGGAGTGACTTCCATGCAGGTAATATTTTGAATAAACAGAGGATCTGAGAGGCTTGGAAGGAGGAGAAACTTGTATGTCATAAATCTTAGAAATAATTGCCAAAACCCAAGGTATGTTAGACTACACAAGGGAAACAAAACATGTAGCAAAAAAACTTGTCTGTGTAAACAGTAGCACAAGAATAAAGTTGTTTAAAGGAGAATGAAGAAATTGATGTTCAGGATAGCCCAAAGAGAAGTGAAACACAGTCATAGAGAAGATACAAAACAGAACATTACCACATGGAAACAGGATGTGATCATGCCAAGAGAAAAGGCAGCTGAACCACTGTCCTTCTAGGGAGCTGAGTTTTATGATCAAAGAAAGGAAATATAACAAGGCCTTCCTACAATTAGTCCTATGTCAGTTCCATCAGTTGTGCTGCTCTGGTGGGAATTGGGAAGCACAGAGGAGAATGGGAGCCACTGCCTCATAGGAAGAGGATGAAATTTTGCAGTGCACATCTTTGGCCAGGCTCAGCTCACCTATCCAAGTCACCAAAGTTAGGAACATGAAATTCCCTTGTTGCTTCTGTGGTCAATAGGAATAGATTAGCACTTTCAGCGTCTGATAGAACACAAATTAATTTTGGGGGGAAACTGTCTCTGTCACTCCACTGGCTGCAGCCACTTAACTGAGCAGCAAAGGCACTTTTCTTCCCCACTTTGATCAGACATGTTCCCACCCACAGGCAGGACAAATCTGTGCTCTCAACTAATGAAAAAAATATGTTATAAATTTGGGATTGCCCACTGGAGGTGCCAGAAAGCAATAAAATTCTGGCTTGATTAGTCAATCATAGTTGGAAAAATCATTTGGTTTCAGATGTCCCTTGTGAGGCATTTTTAGAGAACAAGACCATGATGAGGCCATCTGGAATACAATATGCAGTCTCAGGCATCCAGATGCAAGGAAGATTAATTCACTGTGTAACAGAACTACAATAATCAAGGAAATGAAGAATTTATCTTCTGAGATGAGATTAAAAGATGCCGGCTTGTGTGGCCTAAGAGAATAAAGGTCGTGGGGATTCTGGCTGCTTTCTATAAACTCATCAGTCCAAGTTTCTGTAAACTTAGCAGAGGCTAAAAGCTATTTAAACTAAAAGGCACTTCTGCTGCAATAACAAATGGATACTCATTAGCCTTTAATAAATTTAGCCTGAATATTAGACAAAGGTTGCAAATCCCCAGAGGACTAGAACAACTTTTATTAGGATCAGTTCCACTGTTAATCACAATGATGCTGAAGTGTGATCAGTTTAGGGTCAGCAATTCCAGCCCAGATGGAACAGGCAGGAGGGAGAGTCCTGGGGACCTCTCTAGCCCAATGCACCTTTGGCCTCCACCAGTTCTCTTTGGGAGCTGAGCAGTTTCCAAGCACTGCTCTGTATTCAATGTCTTTATATGGGCAGTGACAGACTTCCAAAGACCTTCATGCCTCATGGAGACAAAGGCCAAATTTTTGGAAGTGTTCTGCAGTCGTAGGACTTCTGTCCTTGGATTCACACACTTGAGTGTGTTGACTCAGCAGTGGATGGCAGCTTTTCTTTCACATCATGTACTCTTTCAGGAAGCATGCTCTGTGCCAGAAGTGAAAATAAAGGTGTGCTGAGGGCTTACAACAAATAATCTAAGCTAGAGGAATCCACAGAATTTGTCACAGAAGTCAGGGAGTCAGCTGAAAGCCAGCTGGCTGCAGGCTGAGTCTGGGTAAGGCAAAAGTGACAGAGGCCGATTGTTTGAAAGAGGAGGTGGTGAGGGGACAGAGCAAAGCAAAGTGTCACAGATGTGTTTCATGAAAAATCCTTTCCTTAGCATTTTTTTTCTCCTGAGAAGCTGGAGGTCTTGGGAACAAAATGTAAACAATGGTTATCTGCTGCTGTGGAATGCAACAGGTGGATCTGTGATTGGCCCATGTTGGTCGGTTCTAATTAATGGCCAATCAAGCTCAGCTGGCTCAGACTCTGAGAGTCAGGAGCTTTTGTTGTCATTCCATTCTTTTTCCTTTCCTTGCTAGCCTTCTGATGAAATCCTTTCTTCTATTCTTTTGGTATAGTTTTAATATAATATATCATAAAATAATAAACCAGCCTTCTGAAACATCAACATCAACATCAACATCAAGGAGTCAACATCCTTGTCTCTTCCCTGGTCCTGGGAGCCCTGCAAACACCACCACAGCAAAGCAAATAGGAAGGCTAAGAGGAGATACCAAGAGTTATCAACATACTCAGTTTTGACAAGAGAATTATTATATCCAGACAAAGACAGAAATGCTTAAAATAGAGCACAAAAAGTAATTTTTCCTCTTCTGAGCATGACCATGTAAACACACATAGATAAGCGTCAGCATCTCTGAGACAGCACAGATCTATGCAAGGCAGCACTCCCCACCTATCACTCTTGAGCTCTGTTCATACAAAATGTATAAATATCAGCTGACATATCAGAAACATGACAGATTTTCCAGCAGCTGATGAGGTCAAAGAATTCTCTGTCTTTGGCAAGAGTCGTGTTTCGAGGAAGAATTCAAAAGAATGATGCAGATGTCGAAGCACAAATCCTAAAGGGCTCCCCTAACAAACAAACCAGGCTTCTTTCTACTAGAACATAGGATTTGGCTCAGGTATGCTTGGGCTGATCCCCATGGAACCTGAGATCTACTCATTTTTCTTCTCTGCATGGCATTTCTCTCTTTACTGGGGTCTTGGTTCATGAATAAATCTCTCAAGCACTACTGCAATGCTAGGGAAAGCAGTAACATCCCATCAGTAAATTTCTATTCATTTTAGTGAACAATCATCCTTGTAGTGCCTGTATGTGCCATAGCACCATATGGCAGCTGCTCTTTTTCCTCCAATACTACTGTCATAATTGACATTGTTTTCAATTTTTCTTAAAGGGCAAAACACATTTTTCTTGTCCGGATCTCAACAGGCATTTAAAAAGATAGGAGCATTAATTAGTTCCTCTGCACTCTCATGCCATTCATTTTCCAAATATATTCAGTTAACTCTTGGTTTCCCATAGTTAGAAATACTAGGGCAAGTATATGGCTTTCAGGTTCCTGCTCAGGTGAATACACAGAATAACTTAGAGTAACTTTGAAAATGGGGCCTGGTAGTAAATATCATCCAGAAGTTCTGTTGCATGTAGTTGGGGAGCTGAAAAATGAACACATTTTCTGTTCTGACTCTTATCCAACACTTCTTCCCAGTAGTCAGGAGGTGGCATCATCTGCAACCACTGTAGAAATAGCCAGTAACATTTCTTTCCACATTAAGGAGTGCCATTAAAAGTGACTTTAAAAATGAAATTTGGGAGAAGAGGGAAATTAACATCAGTGTTATGAAAAGGTCCAGGCTGGAGGGATTTTACTCACACACACTCTTGATTCTTTAATTTGGAAATTCCTGTTCATCCTCAAAACAAGTGGTACAATAATAAAATTGTTCTCTCATCAACTCTGCTCTGGCACCATAATTTATCCCAATGAGATTGTTGATTTGTAGTCCTCTCTTGAAAGAAATGTGGTGCATCTCATTCATGCTATAAGCACAGGGTAATAACTTTCAGTTTTAAACCTGGAAAGCAAATTCTATTTTAAAATTGATTTGTCCATTGCATTTTGAAATATAGATCAGAGTTTTTATAGTGTCAGTTTGACAAAAACCTCACAGTAACAGATCAGTAATGTAAAATGAGCCTTAGAGATAATCCCTGAATATTTTAATATGTTCAGGCCACTTTATTTAAGCAACGCTGCAACAACAACAAAAAGAAATGCACATCTGGATTAGATGATCTTTGAGATTCCTTCCAGGCATTTCTGTGACCTTCCAGAGGTGTAGAAGTTGTTCAAGTGACATGAGAGGTGTAGCTTCTTTTCAGTGGTTTACTGATTGAATCTTGAAGATAAGCCATAATTTAAGCTTTTTGCTGCACCTGTATGACATAATCATTAAAACCCTGCCCTGAGACAAGGCACAGGGCTCTGTCTTGGCATGTATTTCAAACTTGCAAGTTTCCACCTCTTCCTTCCTTTTCACAGAGCACTTGAGCATCTTAAACTGCTGTTCTGATGCTGCTCCACATCTCCCAGAAAATCCCTCAGCAGAGTTTAGGTGTTCTTGAAATGTCCTTTCATAGACTAGAAATGTAAATATGGTTCCAGCCTTCATCAGAAAGGAGTCAGCATCAGTTCTGATGTACACTGAGAACGCTGCTGGAGGCAGCTGCAAAGATGGATGAAGATGAATGCAAACTGCACAAGTCTCTCTGTAGGACTGTTTTTGATGATTGTGATCAGATTTAGGATTTGTAAAGACACACCAGTGGAAAAGGGAGGTATAGATTGCACTTCCATAGCAGCAGACTGATATCATAGGACTCTTTAAATAATGCATTTAGAAGCTGAGTCACCTGTAGTAGGAACATTTCAGGCTGCTGCATAATTCGGGGGCTTTTGTTCCTATAAAGAATACATTAAGGTTTTCAGTTCTAAGCTTCTAGCAAGTCCATGGTCACCTGACAGTGACAAACAGTGACAATGGCATGTTGTACAGCTTAAAGATCTCACTGTTTCACTTGCATTTTTCATTTCCATTCCTCCTATAGTCCTCAGACACCCATCCACCCTCATGACAAAGCCTTGATTAACCTAAGACCCAAGTTATATTTTCCTACAGTGGTCTAAGCCCTGTTCAAGGGCAGCTTTTCTTCTCTCTGAGGCTGGCACGGGGTAAACCCTGACAAGAACTTCCAAGGGAAGACTGGACAGGCTGATATGTCCATTCAAAGCAGGGCACCACAGCTCAAAGGTCTCATAAAATGCCAAGCCCAAGGACTAGACAAGCTGCTCTGGTGATGACCTTCAGCCACTGAGATGCCTCCAGGGTGGTTCTTACAGAGCCAGGACAGCAGAGGACTCGTGTCAGCCTCAGCCTTCCCCAGCTAGGCAACAATCTCCTCATGAAGTGTCAGCCAGCTTTCTGCAGGTTCTTCTGGCTGTCACTTACCAATAGAAAACAAAATTTGTTTTCTTCAAGCACAGGAATTGCTGACTGAAATATTTATTACATGAGCTAGATGGATCAGATGAGTGATCACAGTGGTCTTCTTGCTGGTATAGAAAAACTATTAAAAAACCAAGTTGTTGTGACTGAGTTGGCTAAATTATTTATGAGTGCCTGGATCTTCACACAGGCAGATCTGGAGAACCTAAAATCTGCCATGGCATCTCCTGCCAGCTCTTAAGCTGCATCTTTGTTAGCTATCAAACAGCAATTAAGACATTGCTTAGAATCAACCTTCTGTATCTAATCTGCTGGAAAATATGGACTTTGAAATCCTGCCAGAGTGGTAGGAAGTGTTTCTGTTCCTTCCAGTAGTGCCTAGTTTTAGCACCAAAACCAGTTAGCACAGGCCGTGGTGAGGTTTAAATAGTATAACTCTTCTATTGCCTTCAATGAAAGCAGTTTTTTCCTCCTACCTATGTCGACTAAAATATACTTGAAAAAATTTACAATATCTATATTAAGTTATATTTTCCTACAGTGGTTTAAGACAAATTGAGAGAGAACCAAACTGTTATTTTGCTGATGACTTTACACATTCACTGGAGCTAGATTCTGGAGCACACCAGGAGGTCTCCTTACGACAGCAGGTTACAGAAGAAGATTTTAAAAAGTTTTTATTCAGAATGAACAGGATCTCCTAATCTTTTTGTACAGCTCTTATGACTTCCGATGAAACTTGAGTTTATTGCAGAGGCATCCAACATCACTTTTTAGCTGTCAGGTTACCTGAAGTTTGGCCTCTTACTCACCCAAAATATACTCATGGATGGGGAAAGTATTCGTTCTCTTATTTTGGAGAGGCAGATTAGAAAGGATATTTGTTAAGATTCAAAGATGGAGCTAAAAATTGGGGTAAAAGAACCATTTTAACAATCAGAGATTCTGTCTAAAGCCTTGACATAAATATCTTATCATTAATGAGAATCAACACAGCTCTTCATTGTCCATACACATTAGCACATTTCTCTCAATAAATAAACCTCAGAAGCTGAAAAGCAAATTATATCTGCACTCTTCAAGCATAAGATGTTTTGACAGGAAGCATTAAAAAAAGGACCAGTAAATTAGATGTCAATTCTGAAGACAACTAGTACGTGCAGTGTACTACATTGTGTAGAGGATAAATTCAAACAGAACAATGTGTAAATACAAGGAAAACAAAAGCCAATAAACCAAGTTGTAAACAAAAGTCATAAACAAATGGCTGAGGACAAAAATCAGACTAACTAGATTAAAAGTTTCACTGAAGTTAAAATTATGTTCCTAGAACATAATTAAGAAACATGTTAAGGAGCCAGAAGACAATCAAGAGGACCAGAAGGATAAGGGCTTTTGTAGAGAGGTGCATTTGGGTCTGGCTTCTAATCTTCAATTTTGTAGGATCTATTCACTATCAAATATTTCTCATTTCATCCTCAACTATGATTAAAAAGAGTCTCTCTAAAGTTCTTTCCCAAGATCAAAGCCCTAAGGGTTAAAGAGTGTGTTCACAACTCTGAGTCTTTTTCTTTCCTCTTCTGGTAGGTTCAGGGGCCTGACATCCTGCCCAATACTTGTGTTTTCCATAAACCAGTAAACCTGCATTCTTCACAGTGCAAGAGGGCTTGGTTAAGGCATTAAATCTCATTTTCTTAATGTCAGAGAACAGTTTACCTACCAGGCTCCCAGGGCTTTTTTGTATTCTTTTGGCAGGAAGGAAATAGTTGTCAAATTATTTCAGTGTCCATGACTGAAGGACCATCCCCTGAAGAAGCAGAAAATAAACCCAAATTACCAAAAGAGAGGAAAAAAAATAAATTAATACTGTGTGTTTAACAGGAAGGTTTGGGGTTTTCATTTTGTTTTGGGGTTTGGGTTTTGCTTTACTCTGTTTCTGGAGAGCTGTCTCTGACACTAAATGAATTGGTTATAAGTAGTAATTAACTTTCAAATCAATGGCACCTGACAGACACCACAGTTAAGAAAAAAAATCAAGGGGGCCAAAATTAGAGAAGTTCATTATGGACAGTCTTAATCTCTGACGTTTTCCAGAAGAAATTTCCAAACTCCCTCTATGCAGCACCCAGAGATTTGCTGAATGCTTCTACTGTTGGGTACCTCGAACCTCAAGGACAATTGTGCTGGGCAGAGATCCCCATATTGTCCCTCTGGCTCTGTGCAGTCCCAAGGTGCAGCAGCTCCCTCCTGAGTGTGCAGTAGCTTTAATGTGCTTCTTGCACCAGGTTTGCAAGGAAATGCCTCACTCTGACCTCACTGGGCTGTTCTGTGGTACTTCAAGTCCTTGCCTTGCCACATGAGCCAGAAAAGAGATGAGCGTCTTTCCCTCCTCTCGTGGCTGCTCTTGGTGGGAGGCAGAGTCCCTCTGCCACTCTTTGCTTTAAGGCTCAACATTTTTTTTTACTACAGGTTGCAACCCAGCTTCCAATTTCAATGGAAACTACAGACAATGCTAAGCAATGTGTCTTAGCAAACACTTGCAAAATGCTTCTTATAAAAAAACAGGAGCCTACATAAATTTCCACCTAAGATTCATAAAAGAACCAGCTGGACAGATTCCCAGCTTCCTACTCCAAACTAAATTAGAAATACATTCTAATGTGTTAAGCTGATGTTAATTTTAAATAAGATTCTGAATGTGGAGATAATTCTGAACCAACTGTAGCAGCATCCAAGAGGTCAAGCATAGAATGGGGCAAATAGAGGTTGCAGAAAACACAAACTCGCTGTTTATGTTGCTCAGCTACTGGTAAATTAAATCAGAAGAGAAAAAGTAATGGAAGTCAACATATTTTTAGGAAAAATCATTAAATTAACCACAATTTCTTTTGTAAAGGCAATTAAGCAGATATATTTGGATAGCAAGAATTGACAAGTACCACTTCATATGATTGTGATTACTAAATAAACATGATACAATCTCAAAAGCAGTTAGCAGAAGGGTTGCAGTAAAAGCCACCTCAAAAAGTAGCAGACACTGTGGTATTTCCATTTAAAAGAGTCTGTTCAGAGGGCAGGATCAGAACAGCTCAGTGATTGGTACAGGTCTCAGCACAAACCTATGTTTTCAACAGTGTCCTAAAAGTAAACACAAAATGAGATTAAAAAGATTAGCAATGTTGTTGAATGTTGATAAGCAAATCAATTCAAATGAACAGTGCCTTCCATAAGATGTTCACATTCAGTTAAAAGATGTTTTTCGCCAGACCTTTAAAAGTATAAATCCTATGAGGGTTCTTTGCACACCATAATGCAAAAAATGGAAAGAAATAAGTAAAGGGAGTGGGTTGTGCTCTGGAAAGGAGGGACTCAGGAAGGGTCCCTGACTCTGAAACTCAGGCTGGTTGAACGACTCCACGTGAGCACCCAGTAGCAAGCCAAGACAGAAATAACAACAGTAGTATTTGTATAACCATGACAGAAGTGAATGGAGCAGAATGATAATTTTGCCACAGTTTCAGACAAAAGAAAGTCCAGTTTGAAGACAGTTGTTGAAGTTTTGGTATTTACAAATTTTTAGAGAGTTTGTAAAGTCATTCAAGTTGTCTGAAAATTGGAAAGACTGAGAAGTAAAGAAGCTGCCTCAGCAAGAGACTCAGGGAGATCACATGTTTAGATCACAATTTCTTTCTCCATGCAGTGGAGAAAGAAAACTGTCTAATACAAATGTCATCACAGAGAGAAAATGCTAAATATCAGACAGCTCTTTAATCAGGCAAAACAAGAAGTACACTCAGGATCCAGACCTGTTCAAAAGGAGAAGGCTGGTAGCACATGAAGAGATATAGAGCTCCAGGTATCCAGGGAAATAGCATATTCTTCATTTCTTGAGGTTTTCCCATCAAGCAGGTCATTACAATCAACTTACTGAAAGCCTGTCTCAGCTAGACCCACATTAGTTGTAAAATCTCTTCATGCTGCTCTTCCCTGGGACAGTTACAGAGCCAGAAAAGCAAACTTCCCATGAATTACTAGATTTATGTCTTGGGAGATATGGATTCGGTCCTTGCCTCTGCCAAACATGGTTTGTGTGTCATTGAGCTAGTTACTCAAAGTAAACTTCATTTTACCTACTTTTAGATATCTACTTGCTAGATGTCCATTTTACACATGTATGTCTGAAGCATTATTATCCTCAGCATCTTTATCAGCCAGTGGAGAGAAGCAGGCTCCATTGGAGAGCTGCTTCTCCAAAAAAAAAAAAAAAAATCACCATGCAATGAGGAATTTCATGCTTTGAAGAAGTCTCTATGCTGATTGAATGAAGGCAGGAAGGTGGCTGGCTTGGACCTGGGCAGTCACACCCCTGACATATAAATAAGGGAAGGTTTGCTTTAGCCTCTTCTCAAGAGGATATTAATATTTCTAAGCTGCTGTGAAAAGAATACCTGAGAGACTTAATATTATTAGGAAATATATGAATAGCTATAATAAATGGAATTAAGAAATCACAGTGTTCAAATTTTTGCCAGGCTCCAGGGCAAAAGAAAACTGAATCTTGGGATGTCATTGGAAAATACTTAAACTGTGAGCCAGGTCTCTGAATGCCAAGGAGAAATACTGAGGATATTGAATCCATGTACACTTTTCTTAATGGAAAAAATAGTTTAAAATATCTCTTTCCCAAACAAAGGGCTTTTCAATTTTGAAAGGTCAGTCTGGTGTTAAGGATGGCCAAAGCTGTGCCAGCATAGCTGATGGTGCCATGAACTGTTATGTGGCAACAAAAGCCTTTTAAACCAGATTTACTACTGAAAAAAAAAGATTGAGGAGTTACAGTACAACTCAGGGTATTAAGGAGGAGAATGAAATTTCAGCAAAGCTCTGAAATGGCACAGGAGAGGAGTGCTGATTCAAGACAGCTGATCTTATGACATGGGACAAAGGCTGTGACATTTCTCTTGATCAAAAGGCAGTCTCTCCCATCTACACAAACTCTGGAGGCAACAGCTAAAATGACCATCCTGAATAGCAGCACAAGAAACACAGTAGAGTGAGTCTCCTATCTGCTTGTTCACAAAAATATATCCATCTTTAATTTTCCTTGGATTTGATCCCAGCAGTCAGATGGGAAGGAAGTGCGGCACTTCCCTTATAGTAAAACTCAATCAGCCACAGCAAACAATCCCTTCTGCAGCCTTTGCTTCTGCCAGGAGAGTTCACACTGTGAGCAGAAGCAGGGTCCTCACTGTGGGCATCAAATGTGACCACAGCCTGCAGCAGGCACCACTGCAGCTCTGGCACAGCCCCCCTGTCCCCCCTGCAGGGCTCCTCAGCAATTCCAAAGAGCCAAAATTAAATTCATATTAAAAATAACTATAACACCAACCCCCCAAACTACATTAAGAGACAAAGAGACAAAGTCATGAGTACTGGCAGGGCTGGAAGCAAAATTCTGTCATTGTTCAAGGAATTTGCATAGTAGCTGTTTCGTTTTCTAGACATTTTTTTTTTATAGTTATTTAATGTAGTCATTATACTTGGTTGTGGCAGTTTGCATTGGGATGCTGCCAAAAAGACACTATTTAACAGGGTCTGAGGGGATGGATATTTGAACAGATTATTTTATTTTAATGGATCTCCCCTGCTTTGCCTTGAAAACAGCTTATAGGGATTTTCTCAAAGTGTTCTCAAGGATCTGGTGTTGATTGGAGTGGGGGGGGAACACCAAATCTTAAATACTTTCACCGAACATGAGATTTTACAAAGTAAATAGCAGAGATATATTTTAATAAAAAAAAGGAGATGCTAATTCAGACAGAAAAGACAAGTGTATAATGTTTATTCCCTGTACTACACTTACAATTTTTCAGACAGCTCACCAAATCTTCCCAATCAATATCCCAGGGGATGCTTCAATGTATATTAAACATATATACATACATACATACATACAAGAGATCGGGGGAACAGAATATAAAGACATGCACACATTAGACATGGGTATATTTAGAAAGTTCAAAATCCACAGGAGGAAGAGCCCAAGATGTGGGGTGGTGAGGAGGGAGAAGCCCAAGGCAGTGCTGCAGCAACAAGAGCAGGTTTGCCCTGTGAGCAGCTCTGGGGAGGGCAGAGCTGCTGGGCTGGCTCTGGGCTCTGTGGGGTCCAACAGGGCTGGGGCACAAACGCAGCTCAGCACAGCCCCTCACTGCAGGAACAGACCCTGGGCTCTCACACAGAATCACAGAATTTCTAGGTTGGAAGAGACCTTTAAGATCATTGAGTCCAACCCATGTTCTAACACCTCAACTAGATCATGGCACCAAGTGCCACATCCAGTCTTTTATTAAACACATCGAGGGATGGTGACTCCACCACCTCCCTGGGCAGATGATTCCAGTATTTGACCACTCTTTCTGTAAAAACCTTCCTCCTTAATTCTAGCCTGTATCTCCCTTGGCGCAGCTTGAGACTGTGTCCTCTTGTTCTGTCTGTTGTTGCCCGGAGAAAGAGACCAACCCCAGCTCACCACAGCCACCCTTCAGGGAGTTGAAGAGAGTGATAAGGTCACCCCTGAGTCTCCTTTTCTCCAGGCTGAACAACCCCAGCTCCCTCAGTCGTTCCTCATATGGCTTGTGTTCCAAGCCCCTCACCAGCCTCGTTGCCTCCTTTGGACTCGCTCAAGCATCTCAAGGTCCCTCCTAAAGTGAGGGGCCCAGAACTGGACGCAATACTCCAGGTGAGGCCTCACCAGTGCTGAGTACAGGGGAAGAATGACCTCCCTGCTCCTGCTGGCCACACCGTTCCTGATGCTGGCCAGGATGCCATTGGCCTTCTTGGCCACCTGGGCACACTGCTGGCTCACGTCCAGCCGGCTGTCACCAGCACCCCCAGGTCCCTTTCTGCCTGGGCACTGTCCAGCCACACCGTCCCCAGCCTGTAACGTTGCAGGGGGTTATTGTGGCTAAAGTGCAGGACTCGGCACTGCTCTCAGGTGCAAGCATGAACCCAGAGAGGGAAAGCCAGCCTTGCCACAGCACTGTGATACAGCAGAGAAAAATCTTCTCAGAGAAAAATACTTTAGCTCCCAAGAGAGCATTTAGATAAACCTTTAGTCACAGGGGGAAAGGAAGGGGCTTGAAGTTTTCTTCTAAACAACTCATTATTGAAAGAAAGTGTCAAAAGGTGACAGGAAATGTGAATTTCAAAATTCCTAGAGCAGAACAAATTATTAAAGAGTAAAGTACTGTAAATAATCTAGCCCTTACTATTTTTATTTGGTTGGGAAATTGTCCTTGTTTAGGTAGTCAACTCTAATTAGAATTCACTTGCATATTAAAATAATCTGCAATTAATATGAATGTTCCAAAATTCAGAACATGACATTTTGCCTCCTAGATCATTTTACTTATTTACTCCTAGAAATTACTGCCACCTCCTCTTTCTAGACTATCTAAGTAGTTCATTTAAGTAGTATCCACTCTCCAGTAACTTCTCCATTCCCACAGAGGAGCCCTTGTGGCTGGAAAGGTTGAGTGTCAGGCAACCAGTCCTCAGAGTGACAGCTTCAAGCTACAAGGCTGAAGAGCCCATCTTGTGTGGCCTGCAGCAGAGGAACTTCTCCTTTTCTACCCATTCACACATTTCCTTTTTCTTTTTGCAAAATGTTTTGCTCCTTACCACCACTGAAGTCTCCAGTCCTTTCATTTTACCATGACCATGTAATTATTCTAAATTATTTTTTGAGCTCCTAGAAGGAGATAAAAAATAATGTTTTTTTTTTAATTCAGCTGTGGGCAAGGACAGACAATCCAGTCTCCTCCTGAGCCAACCCAAGAGTCATATATCTGTCACTTCCTTTTATCTCATGTGTTCATCACAAGAAAGGCCTGTCACATTGGAATAATGTTCTTGCCACTCTCTTCTTTATGTGGAAGAGCTCCAACATGACATAGATTTTTGCAGTAGGTAAAGCCTAAGGCAAAAGACACATCAACAACATATTTTCTCTGACCTGCCCATAAAAATGAGTATTTTCAAATCCATGGTGCCATACATTTGTCTCTGAAGAATGCAGCCTTGTCTGCAACCTTGGCAGCTTGGCAGCAGAAAATCACTTTAAATAAATATCTAATATTCTTTAGGATAAATATAATGAATTAGTCATTGCTCCTTACCATAGTGTAGCAGAATTCCTGAAAGCCAGGCTCTATTAGCATTTTGAAGAGGTATTGAGACAAGGATGGGTGTCCTGGGGATTACTGCAGTGGAAAGCAAAGATGAGACAGTGGTAGATGAAGTGCAATCAGGATGCTGCCACAGCCTCTACATCCCTACACATCCCTGCAGTTTTGTTTGTAACTTGAAAAAGAATTACCTCATAAATCTGCAAAACATTTGGCTCTTTTCCTCCATTGCTTGTAAAGATGCACATTCTTAAACAGACTTGTGGGTTCAGTGAATCTGTAAGTGAACAGCTCCTTTGGATACTCATTTTACTGTTAAACCAAAATAAGATTGTTATGCAGAGAAGTAAAACTAAAAATTTAATGTGTATTAAATGTTGCTTTCATGCTGCAATTATCAGCACCAAATCCTGCACCCCAAGGATCATGTAGTGAACTGGTATCAGTTGATACAATCTCATTACTCATTGAAAAGTCTTTCATTATTATTTGCTCTTCTGATCTTGTCAGTTCACTCTTTTTATTACAGTTCCTGCCCATGGGTGCAAGTGAGTGTGATAGGGGATATCCACTGCTCTTCCCTGGCTGATAAACTCACACAGAGCATCCATAAACAGGCACATCTGCCTGCACATCATCTGCCATAAAAACATGAAAATCTGCAGAGCAGAAACTAACATGCTTAAAATCAGGAATTACTGCAGAGAATATCCAGTAATTCCTGCAAATCTAAACTATCTTTTGCTTTTTTATGAGCCAATTGATAAAACAAGTTATGCATATGGTCTGCAGGGAAGTGCTGCAAATAGAGCAGCTGTTAACTTTCAGAGTTACAGAAGGAAAAAAGGTTTTTATTCCACCACATTTCTCATTCTTGTTTTCTTTACCTTGTTGGCTATAACCCTGGCCTAGCCAGGCCCACCACCACACATGTTTCTATTTAAGACTTTGCTTTACAAGATCAGAGGTCCCTTGGTTTGAGCACTGCCTTGCTCAGCTGAGACCATGACACACCTGCACGGG